TGGAAGCAGTAGTCAAGAAATCAAAGGATGTACTGCATTAGGCAAATCTGCTGCACAAGACCTTTTTAAAGTGTTGAAAAGCAAAGATATCAATCAGCTTGAGATCCAAGGTGCGGACTTAGGACCAAGCTATTGTATTTTCAATAACCTCATATACATATGAAAGCTGGACAGTGAATAAGGAAGTCCGTAGAAGAATTGATGCTTTTGAGTTATGGTGTTGGAGAATATTGAAAGTGCCATGGGCTGCCAAAAGAACCAACAGATCTGTGTTGGAAGAAGTGGAGCCAGAGTGCTCCTTGGAGGCCAGGATGGCCTAACTTCGTCTTTCATACTTCAGACATATTGTCAGGAGGGACCAGTCACTAGAGAAGGATATCATATTTGGTAAGGTGGAGGGTCAGAGAAAGAGGAAGACCCCCGGTGAAATGGATTGGCCAAGTGGCAGCATCAATGGGTTCAAGCATGGCAACAATTGTGAGGTTGGCCCAGGACCGGGCAGTGTTTCATTCTGTTGTACACAGGGTCACTATGAGTTGGTACCGACTCGATGGCATCTAATAACAACAACATATATCTCAAGGAAATAGAAGACAAAGACCAAAGAATTGTTGCAGATTAAGAGACTAATGATTCATGATAAATGCCAACATGAGCTTCTGTACTGGATGATTCTGGACATTTTTTTTTCTTTTGCTATTGCACATAATCATAGGACAACTGGAAAAATCTGACTAGTGTCTGCAGATTAAAGTGCTGTGACAGCAGCAAAAGGAAAAAGGAGTGCTCTGCTAACCAGACCCACAAAGGAACATTCTGTGCTCTTAATGTGGTAAGAAGAGATGGTACTATGTAGCTCTGAGAATAAATTAACAGGAAGACAGACAGGCAAAACACATGCAGCCAAGGAAAGAGAAACAGAGAAACCATCAAGGCAAAAACCTATGACTACAAAAACAAAACCTATGACTGCAGGATCCCCCCACACGGTTCCGGGGTGAAGCTCCAGAACAGCCACTGTCTGGAGGAATAACTCTGGACAAGCCACCTGACCCCTTGCATCATTTCCCCATATTTTCTGGGGAACAAGACACAGCCCTCATTGGTAAGGTACAGCATGTATTCAGCAGGATTATGTATATAACCAACACTTTTGATAATAAAAGTAAATCTATCTTAATACCAACCAGTGTCATAAAATAATCCCTCTTGGCAACTGTTTTGAGATTTTAACAGTAAATGTAGTGGTTATGAATCGGGCTGTGAATCTTAAAGTCAGCAGTTTGAAACTACCAGCTGTTCCGCTGAAGAAAGATTGAGGCTTTCTGCTCCCGTAAAGATTTACAGCCTCGGAAACCCTGTCCAGGGTTGCTATGAGTCGGTTCCGACTCCATGGCACATAACTACCACCACTACCTACTGAAAACTACAATGGATATAAACACTTAAGGGACACTGAACTTCTTGTTAAGGGTAATGGAAAAAAATCAGGAATGGTGATTGTTGGAAAACACAACAAACACCTTTAATGTCGCTGAACTATATATACACGTGAAGGCTGTGGAAATGGTACATGCTTTGCTATCTAGATATTTACTGAACTTTATGAGGGTGGGGAGCAGGGAGTGTCAAAAAAGGGTAACTTTTAATAAGAATTAAAATGAGCAATTTATACTATTACCAGAAACAATAGAACGAAATCTATGAGTGACTAAATTTCCACTAACATCTTAGAATTCCATTAGTTCTTAAGTTTAATTTCTTTATCATCTTCTTAGCATCTCTAGTTTGTTTTGTGTGCTTTCTTTTGTAGCCTACATGCCTTTGCATTTTAAATATCAAGAGTAAATAAAAGTAGCAATTTCAAATATGTAATACCTCGGGAGTATTTCTACTCCGAAAAGTTTATAAATATAGACACTTATTCTGAGATCTCATGCTATCATTATGCTTATTAATGTAACTGCCCTGGAGTTTATGAATAAATCACCTATGTGAAATCAGGTAGCTCTGGGACAATGTCAGCATGCCTCCTAGTGGACAATATAAACATTTCATCTTTAATAAAGGTTGAACCCTGTTTAGTATGTTGTTTTTGTGTTGTTATGTGCCGTGGAGTCGGTTCCAACCCACACCAACCCTATACAGGGTTTCTGAGGCTGTAAATCCTTATGGGAGCAGAAAGCCTTATCTTTGTGCCTTGGAACAGCTGGTAGTTTCGAACTGCTGACCCTGAGGTTCGCAGCCCCATTCGTAACCACTACGCTACCAGAGCACCTTATATACATGCTCTTTTTTTTTGTTTGTTTACCTGCAAATCTTTGAAGCAGGAGGTGCTCTTTACAAAAGAATATGTCTCTGACTTTAGTATTTAAGACCACAATTAAGCATTTCCTTGATGACTTAAATTCATTTTGAATCCTTCCAGTAGAACAACTCATTTCTAACACAGAATACATTAGTTACTGTGGTTCCAATGCAATTCTACTCTATTGGACCTATGGAACTGTGGGATGTGCACTGTGTATAAGACTCAGTGTTTCCAAATTCAATAATCCTGCTACCAGTTAGTGCTTCTAACTGGCAGTCTTCAATTAATACACTACTCTACTTGATGAGACTGGATTATTTTGATCTTTGTGGAGTTTTTCCCAATTACAATGTATGATAATCAATGAAGAATTAAAGTAGCAGATTCTATGGCACCCACTTAAAAGAGTTCATTATTGTATTTAGAATTTCAGTGTATTATATTTTCAACTTTTTTTTTTTTAAAAAAAGCACTTATGTCTTAGAAATAAATATAGAGTCCATTCAATAAGAAGATAAAATTGGCTGCAGCTGCGACAAGCATAACCTACGTAATTCACATTCCTTAGGGTTTCAACTGAGTCTTTTTAGGAAGAAAATATTGCCGTCATACTTTTCTGACTCACAATGATACACTTATAGGAGGGAAAATGAAAAAGCATTGCTACAAAATCAGAGAAACCTTCATTTAAGAAAAATATCAGTTGTCAACATCTCCTCCATCTAGGTCTACACACTTCTGACACGGTGTTTGCATTTTGCTAATCCTTCCCCAGCGAACTCTATGCTCTTTGATTAACACCATGTCAAAAATTATGTTCTTTGGAAATATTCTTTGAGTTTAGGGAATAAAGTCTGAGGGAACAAGGTCAGGGTGGTGGGGTGAAGAAGGAAAGGTTTCCCAATGAAATTCTTATAGCTCTTGCTTACCCTAGAAACGGAGCAAGTGCCTTTCATGATGGAAAAAAAATCCTCAGTGCAAATTTTCTGGTCTTTTTCTCACCAGCGCAGTTTTTCATTTTTGGAAACTTCATAATAAGTGTCCATGATCATCCTGTGTCTTTACGAAAAATCTATCAAGCGGACTCCATTGATAACTCCAAAATCACAGTTATTTAACCTTCTGCGCTGACATCTCTACTCTGAATTTAAGTGGTCCAGCAGATAGATCCCCTCAGAAGCTACAGTTCAACAGTTTTGGTTGAACTGGTTTTTTTTTTCTTGTCTGCAGCTATCCACTGATCACAGACATGCTTAAATATGTCTTATTCAGAATAAATGCCTACATGTATGAACTGAAACCCTAGTAGCAATACTGCTTGATTTACCCTGGATTTTTTTGACACCTGTATAGGGAGGGAAAGAGTTATGATTGACAATTTAAATTCTGAAGAAAAATGGTTCATTTACATTTCATATAAAAGTCTTAGGGAAATCTACTACTCATAAGAAAGTACATACAATTCAAGTACAATCTAATAATAGACACTTTCTCACGGGTAGATTACACCAATAAAGCCCACGCCCACTGCTGTCGAGCTGACTCTGACTACAGACACCCATAGGACAGAGCAGAACTGTTTCAATGAGTTTTCAAGGCTGTAACCCTTACAGAGGCTGACTGACAGCCACATCTATCTTCCAAAGAATGGCTAGTGGGTTCAAACTGTCGATGTTTTGGTTAGCAGTGAAGCGCTTGACCCACTGTACCATCAGGTGCCCTTCCTGGGTAAATTAGTAACCCAAGAAGACTATTTATTTAAAAAGAAAAACCAATTATTTATGGTATTCCTGATTGGACAAGGGATTTCCTAATTTGTTAGTATGGAAATGACTATCACTTCTAACTTGTATCTCTAATATGTGCCAAAAGTGTTTTAAATGTCCTTGATCTAATTTTTCATTTATCATTTTTTAAGTTTTCTACCTTCTTTTTACTTGTACATTAAATAATGGTGAATCTCACAAATGAGGATTTCTTAGACTGCACAAAACAACATGTTTTACTTCTGGTTCTCAATCAGTGCTTTACAAGAAGGAAGGCAGCAGTAGCAATTCAGCTGAGATGAAGAGTTTTGGTATTTGGTATATAATTATCTACAGCTCCTCCCTCTGCCATATGCTTCACCTTAGGCCCTTGTGTGTGTCTTCATTTATTCCAGTTTGCCCAGTTTCCCAACATGTGCTTCATTACTGACTCCTGCCCACTCCACACATCAAAGATTTGCCAGATGACTGCTTTACTCTACTCTCACCTCAGGGCATAATGCATGTGTGTGGAGGTGGAAGGGGCAGGTCCTGCTCCAGATTTTCACTGAGAAACGTATCATATTTAAGACCACGAAACTTCTTAACTTTAAAAGGTAAAAAAACCCCTCAGAAATAGCGTGTATTTGACAACACTCAAATTACTTAAGGTGTTCAAAATGTTACACAGTTTGGAAATTAGACTGGGGAGTATATTGTAAGCTTAGTATGAATCAATTCTTGGAGGAAAAGTTTAAAAGTAAGTGTTTTCATTCTAAAAGAAGACAGGCAAAAAGGGAAGTTTCCCATTGTTTGGGGAGGTTAATGCGTTTCTCATTGGGTACTACTAGTTTAAGGCACTGCACTGAATATTTTATAGGAGCATTTGCTCCTGGGAAAGAGCAATGAGGGCTTGTTAACTTGAGAAGACAGGACGTACATACTGCTTTACAACTGTGGGCTATCAGACTCGCAGTCTTCTTGAAGGTCTTCTCAAGGTAGTGCGCAAATCGTTCGTTCTCATTTTCTTTGGACCCTAACTGAAGAAACTCACCTGTAAAGAAGGACAGGGGTTATGAGATGAAGTTTTGTTGCCTAACTAAGCACAAAGATCAAATAAAAAAGAAAGTTAAATCTACTTACCACGCACCAAATCTTCAATAACTTGAGTTAAAATAGATATAACTGTTGTATTTCCAATACGTGCCAAAGCCATAGAAGCTGCAGAAAGAATTAAATCTCCAGCAAGAACAGCCTAGAAAAGATGACAAAAAACTTTCACATGAAAGTGTCAGAGTAATAGAGCCAACAATGAAGTCGACTTATCAGAAGAAAAAGAATGGGAGGGGCTATTTTGGATTTAAGCACTTTTCTTTCCTTCTCCCTCAGCAGAATGACTTGATAATTAGTATCAGATTAGAAACAACTTTTGAGCTGGAAGGGATCTCAGAGATTACTTTGTGTAGCTTCCAAACTCACAATTGAAGAAACATATGTCCAAAGAGGGAAAGTAGTTTACCCCACCCCCCAGTCCATATCAAAACACGGCTGCCTTCAATTTAGTTGCTAACGCAGAACGAGTTTGCTCTTCCACATTGTTGGGCCTTTCACACATGGTTTCTGCTGTCCAGAACGTGCTGCCCCTTTTTCATTTAGCGGATCAGTTGCATAATTAGCTCACATGGTGCCTCTAGGAAGTCTAATCTGATCCCCTGTGTTCTGTGTGAACACAACACCCTTGCACACTTCTGTGTACACTGCACTTTTCATTCCAATCAGTGATTTCCTTGTTTGTTTTCCTATTTACTAAATTCCGGAGGACACAGGCTGGGAGTCATTTCAGCAGACACTTACAGCACAACCTGGCACAAGGCATAATATGGGATTTTTCCTCAGTGAAAACTAAACCATGGAATAGTGCTCCAAGTTCAGTTTTTCTGCACTGTATTACACCACCTCTCATTCTTACACACTCTATCCATATTCTTGAAAATATTTTTCCAATCTTTTTTAAAAATGTTTTATTGTGAATTATGTGATAGTTTACATGGAAAACATTAGCTTTACATTCATTGCCATGGTTACAATTCCCTCCATGCATCATCAACCAATCCAAGGGTACACTGGCAAGCCTGCTCCCCGGTTGCCAGCACACAGCCCCTTCTCCCTTTCTGGGTCTAAAGTCCCCAGCCACTCCACCTCTCCACATCATTGTCTCTGCCTCCATCTCTGGCATCACTGCTTCTCTGGGTAGGGTCCCGCTCTCCGCTCTTCTCCCTTGATGGTTCCAGAGGGTCCCGCTCTCCGCTCTTCTCCCTTGATGGTTCCAGAGGCCTCCGCTTCTAGACTGCAAAGTCAATCACTCCCCTCCTTTTGCTACAAAATGTCTACCTTTATATCTCCAACCCTCACAATCAGTCCTGATATAAACTATTCAGTATTGTACCACAAGAAACCTATCCACATCTCCTTTCATCAGCCCTACCCAGACAGATTGGATACCACTCAGTGGAGATTCTACCTTCCTCCAAGCCCTCTGGATCTAGGTTCCCTCTTGAAAGCTTATAAGCCAGTCACTTCTTGCCTTTGTAGCACCCCCCCCCCCCCCGCCATTTTGGGTAGCCAATGTCCAAGTTACCCATCCCTGCCTACTCTGTGTATGGAGGGGGTGGGAATGATCATCCTCACTGTAAAGATTTGTTCTCTCTTTTGAGCTACTGCATCCATAGGTGTAGGTCAAGTTCATCAAATTGTATTAGATTACTTCTTTTCCTCTTTCTTCTTCTAGTTGAGCTCTTATCATCCAGTCATTGAAGCCAGGTCAAGTGGCTATTATCTGCAAGTGTGAGTGTTCTTGTGCATATGCCCTCTCTTATCAGCTGGATGCTTCACTTTCCACTCTAGTCCTCTGTGGTTATGTCACTGACTCTGTGTCCAAGAGTCCCCAGGTCTTGCTACACTGCTGGCCAACCAGGTTCACAGGAAGTCTATTGAACATTGTAGGGTTTAGCTCACAGCTTCATCGCTGTTTTTCCCTCATTTCCCCTTATCGGTGATGAACATGGTCATCAATCAGAGCGTGTATTCCCACTGAGTCTTAGTCTTGGAAGGGGGTTTGTTCTGAGGGGACACGACCACTTGCCTTGATGTCTCCTGGGCAAGCAACTTGCTTGTTATTGTAGTAATCAGTCAGACTGCCTATATTGTTTTATATTTTTCCTGTCGGTCTTTCTTTTATGAAATACCTTCTGTTCTTCTAGCCGCTCCAGGCTGGTCTGCTTGTTCTTCAAGTGCAAGTTTCCCACCTCAGAAGATTCTGGATGTGGTTCAGGATTCCACCTACGGTCTTATGTAATGCAGAGGCTTCGCAGGAAGCTCTCCTTCACTGGGCACGTTGTAGCCCCATTTTACGTATTCCCATCAGTTATACGCAGAATCTAATCTTCTTTAGATTGTGAGATGTCCACATCATATTAACTAATTACAAATTATAAATCATTGAATTACATTCTTAATGAAACCCTCTATACAGTTATATTAATTTGCATATTTAAACATGCAAAAGGATCAGTCTACTATTATAGTCATAAATGCTAGAGTTAAAATGTCAGCATAACCACAATTTAAGTTTTTGTTCTGACAGTTCTCTAATGCCTAAAAATAATGGTCAGTATGTTTACCATGGAGTGCTGGTGTGGCACTGTAGGATTCAAACCTACCAATCACTTCTTGGAAACCCTATACAGACTCAGTATGAGTTGGAACTGACTCAATGGCACTTAACATTTATGTGATATATAATGAGATTATAAAAGGATGATAATGGTATATGTTAAGTGCCGACTCATAGCAATAGCAACTGTGTATAGGGTTTTCAAGAAGCGGCTGGTGAGTTTGAACCACCAACCTTGCAAATTCAAACCCGAGTTTGATGTCCAGTGCATTAACCTGCAGCACCACACCCACCAGGGCTATATCCTTATATAAATTTTACATTTGTAAATTCATTTTATACTTAAAAGGGAGGGCTGGGAAACCCAAGTCAGTGATAACAGGGATCATGGAGATGAGACTGTGTGAATGGATTAAGATAAGCACTGGACTGCAAGGCCAGTTTGAGCCTCAAGGTTGCAGGTTCAAATTCACCCGCTGCTCTTCAAAAACGCTATACAGAGTTGAGTCGGGATCAACTCAACAGCACTTAACAACAGTAGGTAACAGAAAGCTCGAACCCACAGGGTACTCTGAGGGAGAGAAATATGGTAGTCTGGTTCTGTAAAGATTTACAGTCTTAAAAACCAGATGGAGCAGTTCTTAGTCGGCAATATCGGGTTGCTGTAAGTCAGAACAGACTCAATGGCAACAGGTCTGATTGCTTGTTTATTTAACATTAGTTTTAATTCAGAGGCAGAAAAGGGGAGGGGATTGGCAGGCAGTCTTTAATAGTGGAAAACAGGTGGCATGATAGAATACAAGGCCTTTTCATCAAAACTTTGAAATAAAAGCCTTAAGATGAAGTTGTAGGACTGGATTACACAGCAAAGTTATTGACACTAGAGCAAAACCAACAAGTGAAGATATCATATATTTTGCATTTGGTAAGAGGAATTAAAACCTAGGGGGAAGGCAAGCTGAGGAGAGGGAAGACTTTTCACATAACCTTTTTGTTTGTTCTTTATCTGGGCAGGACAGCTAACAGAGGTACCTACCTGTATAGTGGGGTAGAGACAACTCCAAAATAGTGTGTACACTTTCAATTCTGTTACTACTGGACTTTCATTCTTTTTTCATTTCCTGCTCCATAGGGTTTGCTGGGCTGTAATCTTTATTCCCTTTCCTTTTCTAACCCTTCCTGCCTTTTGAACATTGTCCTTGGGCATATCCTGCACCCCCTGACCTCAAATGATGAATTATTTGAGAACATGCACTTTTCCCTAGTTGTTAGTGTTCCCCTTATAGACCTGTCTAAGGAGCTCTGGTAGCAGTGGTTACTCAGTTGGGCGGCTAGCCTCAAGGTCAGCAGTTCGAAACTACCAGCTGTTCCATGGGAGAAAGATGAGGCTTTCTGCTCCCATAAAGATTTACAACCTTGGAAACCCCATGCAGGGTCACTGTGAGTTGGAACTAACTCCATGGCACATAACCACCACCATACAGGGATGAGTTCAGTTCCAAGCATGCAGGTGTCTAAGGGCCAGAGTGTCGGGGGTTCCCCAGTCTGTCAGAGCAGTGCACCCGGCCTGCTTTTGGCTTTTGCATTTTGTTCCACATTCTTCTCCCACTCTCTCCAGGACCTTCTAATGCGATCCTTTTCAAAGCAGTTGGTAGTGGTAGCCAGGCACCATCTAGTTCTTCTGTTGACTCCCAGACTTGTAACCATGCTGTAAATACCCTCAAAGTCTTCATTTCACATACCCCTCTTTACTTAAAATATATATCCAAGGAGGCGTCAAAAAAGTTCATAGAAAAATGAAATGAAAAGAATGTAATCGTTCCATGAAGTTTTTGAAACCCCCCTCGCATATGAGTGAGTCAGAACCTCTATTTCAAAAGGTAGAATTCTCTTCATGGGAGAACAGTATACCGCTGGGAGTTTTAAAAGTTTCTGAATATTTCCTTGCCTTGACACTCTAGCATTTGGTAGTCAATGATATTTAAAGAATTAGCCTGAATCTGAGGTAACGTGAGCCCTAAGTATGAGGTGGCTTCAAACAGTTTGTGGAAAAATGCCATTATCTTCTCATTCCTTTTCCCCCATAAACTTTTAGAGCCTTTCGTAAAGTACACAATTGCTCAGGAAACAAGCTTTTTGGATACCTATGAAAAATTATTTTCCTTATACTCAAAAAGAATCTTATATACGACTGTGAATAACCAGAAACTTATTTTTTGCTTATTTTTCGCTTATTTTTCTACGGCATTTTCTGTTATCGATCAAATATCTCATATGTACCGACAAAGTAATGTTTTTAAAAAGAATTGGAAGACCCCATGTGAGCAAGCATACTTTACTTGTAATGAAACAAACCTGAAAAATAAATGCAATCCAAAGAACACATGCTTTTGTACGAAACATTAAATAAAAAATAAAAGCCATACCTTTTTTTCCCCCCAGATCTTATTAACTGTGTGCTTTCCTCTTCGAGAGCTTGCATCGTCAATAACATCATCATGAACCAGACTAGCAGTGTGGATCATTTCTGCAATTAAGGCTATGGAGCGCTGGCTTGCTTGCACATCTCTAGTTAACAGAAAGCAAGGCTTTTTAACAGAGACGCCGCCTATAACCTCCTCAGCAATCATCTTGTGAAAACTGGACTTCGGATCTAGGACAAAGAATTTTATTTCTCTAAGAGAAACTGTACACAATATTTGGCTTCCCTATAGAGCCATTTCTTTCATTTGGAGAACATCTTAAAAATGCATGACATATCCTGCCAAAATCATGTTTTATGGACACCTTATTAGCCAGAATTGTGCAACTGACAATAAAAAAGGTATAAATAGCTTAATAAAAAAGGCATAAATAGCTCAGAAGTCTGAGCATCGGGCTACTTAAAGATTCACCTTTATATTCTATGGTAGTCCACTTGGTTGATTAAGTTTATAAGTAGGCTACAATGAAATTTTAGATGGAAAGGGGAGGACGGGTAAAAAACAATTAAAAAAAAATTATTTAAAAACCAACTGTGGACAAATGTTATGATTTCACTTATATGAAATATTTAAACCCAAACCAAACACAACCCACTGTCATCAGTCAATTCTGCCTCACAGTGACTCGATAGGCTAGAGTAGAGCTGCCCCACACCACAGGGTTTCCAAGGATGTTCAAACCCACCAGCCACTTCTCGGAAACCATATAAAGGGTGGCTGTAAGCCTGAACCAACTCAAAGGCCCTTAACAACCACCACAACAATCTTTGTAGAAGCAGACCGCTACGTCTGTCTCCCAATGAGTGGCTGGTGGGTTCCAACCACCGACCTTTTCAGTACCACCCGGGCTCCTATGAAATATTTAGAAAAGGCAAATTCAGAGAGACAGAACAGATTAGAGGTGATGAAAGACTTGGAGGAGGGGAAATGTGAGGTTATTCGTTTATGGATACAGAATCTGTTTGAAGTCATGAAAAAGCTTTGAAAATAGTTGTATGACTGCACAACACTATGAATGTAACTAATGCCATTCACTGACCTGTACATTTAAAAATGGGTTAAAATTACAAATTTTGTTATTTTATCACAATAAATATTAAAAAAACAACAACAAAAATCCCATACAAGATGCCACAGCTACTAAAAATCAAACAGACCAAACCAAAACACACATACAAATCTAAGTATCACTATGTTCAAAGTATTTAATACCATTATCAATTAAAGGTTTAGTGCGAAGACCTCAATAACCAAGCCAGAATTATAAAAAAATTTCTCAAAATTGTAAGTTTAGCATTAGAAATTTAGATTATTTCCAAGATGGAGTCTTGGTGTGGCACTGCAGGAAAAACACTGGACTGCTAACTATAAGGTCATTTCTTGGAAACCCGATACCAAGTTGCTGTAAGTCAGGACAGACTCGATAGCACTTAATAACAATAACATACGACAAACACGCTCAAGAACATAATACTGTTAGAAGGAAGTGCTCCTTATATAACATTTTTTAAAAAACTGTCATTTTAATTATCATCAATGGGCATTTTTGAAACTAAATTTCAAGACGGTCAAATTTGGGAAATAACAGTACATTTGGGGGATTCAGCGGGAGAAACATGGGGCTTTTTTGCTCCTGTACAGAGTTGCTACGAGTCTGAACTGATTCGACAGCACTCCACCACCACCACCACCAAATGTTTCACTTCATAAAGTACTTACTTTTAAAATATCAAGTTATACATTAGAGGGAAGGAAAATGAGAGGGATATTGGAGTATAATTGTTCCTTTATCTGCAAAAGACAGTGTTCACTGTGATTCTTCAGAAACAGTAGAACAGTGTGGAAAAAATGGAAGTCCAACCACAGAAAAGCTGCTGGAATTTAACTACAAACATGGAATCAGATTGAGAATATCTTTGGATTTTGCTTTAAATACAATTTTAGAGCAAGATGCCTTGCTGACTTTTCACCTACATCTCAGAATCTGCCAACTGCTTTTAGCATGGAAATCAATTGTAAAGTGCTGTTCATTATTTATTAATATTTCACAACTATATCCATTCTTAGTACCTCCAGACCTCAATACGTTCATCCAAGGTGGAGGGAAGTATGGTAATGGAAGACAGGGCCCAGCCATCCTTTAAATTTACTTTAATAACCAAGCAAATGAAGGTTCAGACGGCTTCCTCTGAATCCCTCACAGGCCCTTATATTAGGATGCTGGGATCTTAGACATTTTTCAGAGAATTGCACAGAAAAAGATGCATACTATTACAGCTATTTCTTTTTGCTTTTCTTTTAATATAAAGGCTATTTAAAAGAATATTTTGTCAAGTGAATTTCAGCATTATCAAATAGTCCTCCTACGTGACAGCTCTTAGCACCAACAACAACTAGCTAGTAGCAGAACTTACCTAAAGATAACCACTAAGGCTTCTAGGCTTTCTCATGCATTTATTGATTACACAACACTTCCATTATCACACACTATGTGAGCAGACAGAGTTTCCTGCTGGGATGGTACAGAACATAGCAGTGCTCACTGACACTGGAGTGCTACAAATGAATAGGACATTTGTATATGTGAAGTTTATTACATACAAATGTTATATACATCCCGGCACTCTGACGTAATCTGATGTAAAAATGCTTTTTTCATGGCTAAATGATTGATTGGGGTAATCATGATTCTTGCTTAGATGATCATTTGGCACTGTGACATGACATAGGTCCTAATAAAAAAAAAAACATTGTATTTTAGATGCTTTAATCTTTCCCCCCCCACTTTTATTGAAAAAATACTGCCACTGCTGAATTATCCCCAGCATACTGGTGGGACAGATAATCAACACTTAGAGGGGGTGGTGGTGGTGTGTGCCACCAAGTCAGTTCCCACTCATAGCAACCCTGTATAGGATTTACCGGAGCAGAAAGCCTCATCTTTCTCGTAAATTTGAACTGCTGACCTTGTGGTTAGCAGCCTAGCTAGCACTGTATTTACCTTCAAAGTGCCAAACTGAGACATGGTCATCATTTCTACTTCATATTAGGAAACAGCTGCCACCTGTTCCCACCTTCTGGAATAGGTGTTAAGGAAGGTCAGACAGGCAAGACAGCGGCAAGAGGCTTAGTCTTGAAAGTTGTCTATGTCATCTGTGTGTCACACCTGGAAGAGCAAGCTATGGTTCAGCTCGTCCTCACGAGACCTGTTTGGCTTTTCTTATTAGATTTTAAAAAACATTTTCACAATGAAGAAGTTCAAACATATGTAAAAGCTAATGGAACCTACATCCCTTCACTCAGTTTACTTCTGATTTAAAGTATGTTAATTTTCCTATTCATTCTAATACATAGGTGAAGTATTAATCAAACTACAAGTAAGGCCCCTATGTGGGAAATTGTCTCTAAAATGATAATCCTACTGTGTCCTTGGATTGCCTTGGTTTTGTCCAAATGAGAAGTAGGAAATGTGGCTTAACTTCAACAACAGAGACAAAGAGAAGCTTCTCTTCCTAACTATATTGAAAATGTTGTACAGATTTGCTGTCAAGTAGTATGTTGTTGTTAACTGCTGTCGAGTTGATTTTGACCCATAGCAACCCTGTATAGGGTTTCCAAGGAACAGCTGGTGAGCTTGAACCACCGACCTTGCAGTTCAAACTGACTTTGCAGTCTGATGCATTAGCCCACAGCGCCACACCAGGACACCAAGTAGTATGTTGTTGTTAAGTGCCGTCGAGTTGGTTCCAACCCATAGCGACCCTATACAGGGTTTCCGAGGGTGTAAATCTTTATGGGAGTAGAAAGCCTCATCTTTCTCCCGCGGAACGGCTGGTAGTTTTGAACCGCTGACCTTAAGGTTCGCAGCCCAATTCGTAACCACTATGCTACCAGAGGTCCTTGCCAAGTAGTATACATAAGGCTTTATTACTGCTTCGAAATGAGCTTCTGTTTGTTTCTACTGAAAGCTCTGAAAACAGGTGTTTCATTTTTCATGTTAGAACTCCGGCAAGCTTTTGCAGTATTTCTTAAAATATATCCCTTGTGTACGGTATCATAATCAACTAAGGTACTCTAAAATACAGATGGAGGTCCTATTCCAGGCATACTGAATTAGTCTCTAATTAGTCTCTACCTACAAACTATGGCCAAGTGGAACAAGAGTCCAGTGTCTTATGACAAAGCACATGCTCTTCACATCCCAAGAGCAGAAGGATTAACCTGTTCTTAGTAGCACAGTCGAGGGCCATCTATCTTCCTATTCAATCTCCATACAATTACAGATTTCAAAGGATAAAGCCATGCTTTATCAGTGGTCTATACTGAAGATCGGTGGTGGTGGTGGTGTGCTGTGGAGTTAGTTCTGACTCATAGCAACCCTACATAGGTTTCTGAGGCTGTAAATCTTTACAGGAGCAGAAAGACTCATCTTTCTCCTGCAAACACCTCAAGCTGAACTTGAGGTTAGCAGCCCACCTTGCAACCACTACACTACCAAAGTTCCTTATACTGAAGATGTTGTTGTTGTCGTCAGGTGCCATCGAGTCAGAACCGACTCATAGTGACCCCATGCACAGCAGAACAAAACAATGTCCGATCCTGGACCAACCTCCCTACCGCTGCCACACTTGACGCCATCAATGATGCCACCTGGCTGATCCATCTCATTGGGGGTCTTCCTCTTTGTCTCTGACCCTCCATCTTACCCAGCATGACATCCTTCTCCAGTGACTGTTCCCTCCGGACAATATGTCCAAAGTATGAGAGACGAAGCTTAGCTATCCTGGCCTCTAAGGAGCACTATGGCTGCACTTCTTCCAAAACAGATCTATTGGTTCTTTTGGCAGTCCATGGCACTTTTAGTATTCTCCTCCAACACCACAACTGAAAGGCATCAATTCTTCTATGATCTTCCTTATTCACTGTCCAGCTTTCGCATCCATATGAGGTTATTGAAAATACCATGGCTTGGGTCAGGCGCACCTTAGTCCTCAAGCTGACATCTCTGCTATTCAACAGTTTCTCCCCATTAAAAACTCAAATAACATTTCTCTCTGTCTCTCTCTCTCTCTCTCTCTATATATATATACACACACACACACACACACACACACACACACACTTACTTTTCAGCATGTGAACTGCATTTGGCAATTGTTAACCAGTACTGATAAAACTACACATAATGAAGTTTTCAGTATGCCAATTGACGTAGCTTTACAGGCCCTCCTTTTTTTTTTTTTTTTTAAAGTGCCATTGAATCAATTTGCTATATATTTTGGCTCTTCAAACACTAAGATGTTACAATGTGTCCTGATTTTCATTCTGTTCTGCTTTGTCAGTGATGGATGCAGAAGAGACATTTCCAGAGGGAGGGAGAAGTCCCCCAAAGCATACTCCCGGCACTCTGATGTAATATGATGTAATGATGGGCTTTACATTAGTTTCTTGTGAGTGCTGGCACAAGTCTCCACCAACTTGGTGACTTAAAACAACAAAACATATACTTCACAATTCTGGAGGCCCAGCATGAGAAATCAGTATTAAGATGCAGTCAAGGTGTTGGCAGAGCCAGGCTCAAAGAGAAATCTGCTTCTTATCTCTTCCAGTTTTTGATGGCTGCAGGCATTCCTTAGTTTGTGGCCTCGAGACAAAAATCATCAAAGCCAACAAATCTCTCTGCTCTAGCTTCACATCGCCTTCTCCACTGGGCATGCAAAGTCTCCTTTTATCACCAACACGTGTAACTGCACTTCTTGGATAATCCAGGACAATCTTGCCATCTCAAGACCCTTAAATTAACTGAATCACGCCTGCAAAGACCCTTTTTGGCTAATTAAGAGGTAGCTTTTACAGGTTGAAATAACATTCAGTTATTTCAGATTAGGCACAGGTAACAAGTACAAAAGGCAGTTCTTCCACCAGAGAACCAGCCTCATACTGCATGAGTGTTGGTGGAAGAGAATGCAGAGCACATTCACAAGCTCTACAGTGTCGCTATGGGTCGGAACCGACTCGACGACACTTAACAACAGAAGAGACAAACAGCCTTCTTTCTCTCACTGGTGCTCTCCTTATACGTGAGCTTGAACTCAACAATGAAATGACTCATCATTTGGTGGGTAGTTCTTACTGCAGACTTTCCATTAGCAAGTACGAACACATCACAAGTGCCATCACCTAAGTTAAGAACAAAAGTTGTTGTTTTTTTTTTTTTTTTCGCACCAACCTTCTTGCCTATCCCATAAACAGCAGCAGGAGCACTAACTCAATAATGTGGAACATGTACGCCTTGACACTGGGAGTCATTCAAATAAGCCATCACCGGTGTAGGAGTCCTGGTGTGGTGCTGTGGGTTAATGCACCACAGTGCAAAGTCATTTGAACTGCAAGGTCGGCAATTCAAGCTCATCAGCCAGTTCTCAGAAACCCTACACAAGGCTGCTATGGGTCAGAACCAACTCAACAGCACTTAACAACAATCAACAATGTAACAGCCTCCTTAGGGTAAGCTTTTGCAATTCCTTTTTCTTGATGAGAACCTTGAAAATTACCTCCTCTGAATAGAAGATTTGTCACATCTAGATCTCCGACCTATATCAGATGTGACAACTGAGACGTATAATTTGGAGGCTCCATTTTAGTGTTGGAGTCCTGCTATGGAGCTGCAGGATAAGCATGGGACTGCCAAATGAAAGACTGGCAGTTCACACCCACCATTCACTCCTTAGAAACCCTGTTCTATGAGTGAGAACCGGCTAGAAGGCACTTAACAACAATCAAATATTTGTGGAGTCCTGGTGTGGCACTGCAGGATAAGCACTGGACTTCTAACCATATGCCCCTCCTCGTAAACCCTATAGAGAATCATTATGAGTCAGAATACACTCGATGACATTCAACCACCATGCTGTGGGCTAATGTACCAGACTGCAAAGTCCTTTGAACCACAGGACTGGTGGCTGAAACTCACCAGCTACTCTTTGGAAACCCTATACAGGGTCACTATGTCAGAATCAACTTGACCGTACTTAACAACCACCACCACCAAATATTTATGGAGCCCTGGTGGTGCCATGGGTGAGGTGTTGGCTACAAGGTCAGTGAGTCAAACCTACCATCAGTCTTTCCACAGGAGAATGATGTCTACTCCCATAAAGACAGTCTCGGAATGCCTATAGGGTTGCTATGAGTAGAAAACCAACTGGATGGCAGTAGGTAATCAAATATTTGGTTTTGAAAACT